GTCGTTCACTCGGAACGGGAATTGGACCGTGCTGGAAGACCGGACCGGCCGGACCGGTGCGGGATGGGCGGGCTGCTGCGTGCCCGGCTGGGGAGCCTCGGTTGAGGCTCGGAGGCTGGCGGCGGTGACCGAGCCTGGAGGGGTGTAGCTGGTTCGGGCGGGACCAGGCAGGGTTTGGAGCGCGGCGGCGGGTTTGGAAGCAGCGGGAGAGGCGGAAGCGGCGAAGGAGGCGAGGAGGGATGCCCCTCCTCGGCCCCCCATTGGCGCTGCTGGTGGAGAGCCTGCTGCTGTGGCTGCAGCGGCGGCAGAGGCGACGGCGAAGGAGAGCGACGGGGAGTGCTGTGAGGCTGAGGAGGCGTGGTGGTGCGCGAGGGTGGGCGTGTCCGCGGATAGCTGGGGGACGGGTTGAATTGGCGGGGGGGAAGAGGGGAGGAGGAACAGTCGGGTAAAGCGGGGAGGCGTGAGAGAGAGAGAGTAGAGGGATCTGTGTGAGGGAAGAAGCTCACTGGCATGCCACACTCACATGCCTCACAACAAAACCACCCATCTAACTTCACCTCACCGGGCAGTTAACCTGGGCTTGCTAGGCCTACCTGGGCTCGCTAGGCAACCTACCTGGGCTTGCTAGGCAACCTACCTGGGCTTGCTAGGCAACCTACCTGGGCGGCGGCGGCAGCGGCAGCAGCCATGGCGGCGGCAGCGAGGGAGCTGGACTCGCGGCGGAAGGCGGCAACGGCGGCACGCAGGGTGAGGTTGGGGGTGAGCGTGGCGGCGTCTATGTGCGCGCCACACTCGGGACACGTGCTCTGGGGAGGCCGAGGGAGAGTAGGGTTGGAGGGGTTGGAGAAGAAAGGCAGCATGAGAGGTGAAGATACATGCGGTGATGGAAGCCGATGCAAGGATTTGAGATGATGGTGGCGAGGAGGTTAGTGAATGGTTCAGCGGAACGACGGTGCATATTGGGTGCAGCGCAGCGAGGCCAGAGGCAACACAAACAGGCAAGTGGGTGCAGCGGGGCTTGAATTGTGGTTGTGGAGCAGAGTGAGAAGGTGGAAGGTGGAAGAAGGTGGGAGGGGCCTCAGTGCTCACTGATTCGCGCACAACGGCCAGTGTTGCCCCTCCGAAGGAATGGCCGCAGCACCCCACCACGGCGTCATCAAGCAATCGCCCCCTGTTTGCACATTAAGGATATGCACGCACGCACACGCACATACGCATGCACACGCACATACGCACACACACACATACGCATGCACACGCACATACGCACACACACACATACGCATGCACACGCACATACGCACACACACACGCCACAAAAAGACAGGTCCGACAATTGCTGCCATCAAAAAGGAAGGAAAAGGCAGCAGATAGTCACGGACGCCCAGCAAAAACAGGCGGTGCTCCCAAGACACACGGACCGTCCAGAAGCCACAAGGGCATGTGTGCTCGCCAAACTGAAAACGCTTCAGTCCAAGTCCAAGCACTCTGCACCACATAACAGAGCAACTGAGCCACACTGCGCGCATCATGCACTCACACATGCAACAACAGCACTAACTAAGCACTCACGTGAGGGGGTCGCTCAGCACGTCTCTGAGTCGGGGTTCATTGGAGGCGGCGCCTCTGCCAGTCCCCGTGAGGCCCGCCAGTGCAGCTGACAGCTGCGCGCTGCTGCCCCCCGCTGCCGCCAGCGCCGCTGACAACTGTGATGCACTCTCTATTGCACCTCCCCCACCTCCTGCTGCGTTGACTGCTGCTGCAGAAGGTAGCTGTGCGCTGCTCTCCCCTGCGCCTGCTGCTGCTGCCTTCACCGGCGATGATTTTGTTCCTGCAGTTGCCACAACTCCTGTTCCCACTGCAGGCCCTGCCATGGCCCTACTTGTGACATGCTTCATTGCAGGATTTGAAACGGGGCTTGCAACATGATTTGAAACGGGGCTTGTAACAGGATTCGATACTGGACTCGTAACGGGACACGTGGCAGGTTTTGCAGCAGGGCTGGTAACAGGTGAGCAAGTGGCAGGTTGACCAATGCGCTGAGTGGCATACAGAGCAGAAGCAACGAGAGGCCCTGCCGGTGCAATCGTGCCGGACAAGCCACTGTAGCCCACTGCACACGTGGCAGCACCATGCACACTCGCTGCGCCCGCTTCTGCTGACGTGGCTGCAGTTGCTGGAACCAAAGGCTGCGTCAAGCACGCCTGGTGGCGAGGTGAGGCAATCTGACGAGGTGAGAGACTCGCAGAGGGATCCGATAACGGAAGACAAGGGGCAGCACACCCAGTGACAGATGGGGCAGCAGCAAGCGACACGGAGGAAGGATCTGAAGAAGAAGACGGATTCCTACAGGAAGGATTTCTAGGGGAATCGCTTTGCACCACTTGGTGCAGCACTGTCCCTTGCTGCACCGTTCCTTGTGCCAGAATATGCTGATGCGCACCCGAGGCCGGCGTCACTCCCCATTCACCGCTCCCAGCCACAGCAGCAGCAGCTGCCGCGGGTGCACCAGATGCCACAGCAGCAGGAGCAGTTGCAGGGGCCGTGCTGGCAAGAGAAGCGGCGAGAGCAAGAGCAGCGGGAGCTGTTACTGCGATGCCAGGTGGTGGTGGTGCGGCTGAGGACGACGCCCCGCGAGCAGTACATGCAGGCGCTGGATCAAAACACTCTCTCTTCGGAGATTCTGCCCCCAGACGCTCCCCCTCTGCCGTGGCTTGCGGTGAAGAGAGGGTGCTTACGGGGCCTACATTGTGTGGGCGTGCTGATCTGAAATCATCTGCTTGTGATACGACGGGATCATGTGCCTGCACTCGTTGTTGTTGCTGCTGTTGCTGTTGCTGATGTTGCCGTTGCTGCTGCAGATGCTGTTGCTGCTGCAGCTGTAGCTGCTGTTGCTGTAATTGTTGCTGCTGTTGCTGTTGCTGCTGCTGCAGCTGCGGCTGATGTTGCTGTGCTTGCTTCTGTTGTTTCTGCTGATGCTGTTGTTGCTGCCACTGCAGCTGCTGCTGCTGATCCTGCTGCTGCTGGTAAAGCTGTTGTTGCAGCTGTTGGAGAGCGAAGGACGACAGATCCTGCACGTGAGATGGCGTGTGAGCGTGGTAGGTGCCCTCACTTACTGCGCCTGCGCACAAGTGACAGGGACGAGAGGAGAGAGAGAGAGAGAGAGACGAGACGAGAGGAGAGAGAAATATGACGACAAGAGAGACAGGTGACGAGAGGATTTTTTTGTCCTGCGTGTGAGCTGGCGTGTGAGTGAGGAAGTGCTCTCACTTACTTCGACTGCGCACAATAGAAAGGAGACGAGAGCAGGGAGGAAGGAGACAAGAGCAGGTGCCGGAAGCACAGAGAACGAGAAGACAGACGACGCGAGGGAAGAGAGATCGCATGAATGTGGAACAACACCGAATAACAGCAGAGAACACGCGGATCCAGATGGTTAGCTTTGGCAGAGCGCATATCAAACGGCAACTAACAATCCTGCAGCAACAGCAATGGAAGGATAGCGCGGATTCGAGACAGCAATCGCGCCTGGCTCATTCGCGGACTGGCTGACTCGTGGTGAAAAGAGGGTAGCCACGTAACCACGGCATTGTGGCTCATGGCCGAGCGAGCTACGTGATTGTGAGCGCATTGGAGCAGATTTTAGAGAATGTCACGCATTGGCACGCAACGAGATCCGTTCTGTCTACATGCCGTGATTCGCATTTCTCCTCAGCACGTCGCTTTCTAAGGTGCGCGCAGCGCGTCTCGAAATCTCGACAGGCTTCGTAGAGCCTTCGTGAATTCCAGGCGCGGTGGTATTGATTGAGGGTCGGACGACGCGACGACAACACAGCGAAACGATGAGAAGGGAGCGTCGTCCCACGTCGTCCCACCCTAACAGGGTCGACGGAACGACTCTGACGCGGATGCGACGACAAGGCGTCAGGAAACGAGTCCAGTGCTGCCGAGAAAGCTGCACTGGCGAGGCCGCGCCACGTCACTGGAGTGGACTTGCCCGTGCAGCGCACGACCGAGCAACTCTGTTATCCAGACACGATCACCGCCAGCCCCATTCCAGTTAAAGGCTTATTTTCTAGCGGACTCAAACGACGGCTTGTGAAACGCGTTACGGCGCTCTGACGACGCACCGGAGACGGGTGTTGCGCCGACGACGGCGGGAAAAGACGCAAGCGTGGCGGAACCGTCGAGAGCAGTAGCGCTGAACGAAGCTCCTCGCTGTTGCTGCGTGCTACGATAGTCATGCACGTGCCGTGAGGGGTCATCGTCTGGACCGTCTGTCGCTCCATTTTCCATATCTTAATCAAAGCAGAACCATGGCGGAGGACACGGAAATAGAGAGCTAAATCTAAAGGGTTGAAGCTGGGTTGTGGTGAGATATCTACCTCTCACAGACTACAAGAGGGTTGGAGATTCGTTGGCGCAGAATGGCTGCGGGAATTCTGGCGGAGATTGGGGTGTGGGGTAAGATACTCTTGCTGCTGCCTACCGCACGTGAGCGGAGCTCCGTGTTGCTTTAGCCTGCAACTAACTGCTTTTCTGGTTTCGTTTGTGTATGAAGCTTTCTGTTGGCCTTGCGTTTTCGTGTTCTGTTTTCAGTCAGCCTTTTCGCAAACAGGACTGGCGCGCCTCCTCTCCCTCCCTCCGACAATTTGCAATGCGCTCGGAGTTCCCGAGGCTCTAGTTGATGCCACGGTGGAATGCGGTGCATGTGGTCGTCACTGCTTGTAGATTTTTTTTTGCGCGTTGCCGTCAGTCAGTCAGGTTGTGACTGAAGATCGACAAGGCCGTCCGTCGAAGAACACGATGAAGACGAAGACGAGACGCAAACGAAGACAGACAGTTGATATTCGCTTGAGCCAAACTTTTTGTGAAGCCAGGAATTGTTCTTAATTTGTGCTATGGAATTGTTCAGCCTGTCATATTTTGACAAGAATTTGTTCAACAAAGTTGTTTCAACTATTTCACAGCTAATCATTAGCTCGGGCATTTTCCTAACATTACTTAGTGAGGTGGGGCTCAAGAGCCTCCTTGGCGAATTGTGGGAGAACGAAGGCAGCGGAATGGACCTGCAAGTACATGATGAAGAAACAATATTAATCATACCCTCCATGAAAACAATTGCAAGCGTGCTAAAGAAACAGAGCAAGAAAAACAGCTAGGTTGTATTTCATAGCAAGATCAAGAGCACTTACTTGAGAGTTGTAGTACTTAAGGGGCGGCAACTTGGGCAGGTTGTCAGGTCGTTCAGGCTGGTCCTCAATCTTGTTGCAGGGGACCTTGAAGTTCACCTCTGGCCCCGGGGTCGAGCACACCATGAAGCCGATGGTGCCACTGCAAGTTACAGGAATGGAGGGGCAGATTCAAGAGCTCATTAAGATTGGAACAAAATACATAAAGAAATAACAACCACCCCACCTCTCTCCCGAATTCCAGGCCATTCATCCCAATCGAGAAGCCTTTAACACGCAACCCTGTCTCACCTGGGGTAGGTGGGGACGCTGGTCCAGGCGTAGTTAACGGAGCCCTTGAAGGCGTGGTGGCAGGCGAGGGCGATGTCCTTGATGATGGGCAGATGCAGCCACAACGACTCCGCCTGCGTGCACACCACCCCGCCTGGCCGCACTGCCCGCGCCATCGACTCAAAGAAGGGCCGCTCAAACAGCTGCTGCGCCGGCCCTGTGGGATTGATTAAAGGGGGGATGGGGATGGGGTGGAGGATGAGGGGGAAAAGGGAGTGGAGAAGCGGGTAGCGTTTGAGAAAACTTGTCTGGTGGCATCGACTCAAAGAAGGGCTGCTCAAAGAAGGGCTGCTCAAAGAAGGGCTCCTCAAAGAAGGGCTGCTCAAAGAAGGGCTGCTCAAAGAAGGGCTGCTCAAAGAAGGGCTGCTCAAAGAAGGGCTGCTCAAAGAAGGGCTGCTCAAAGAAGGGCTGCTCAAAGAAGGGCTGCTCAAAGAAGGGCTGCTCAAAGAAGGGCTGCTCAAAGAAGGGCTGCTCAAAGAAGGGCTGCTCAAAGAAGGGCTGCTCAAAGAAGGGCTGCTCAAAGAAGGGCTGCTCAAAGAAGGGCTGCTCAAAGAAGGGCTGCTCAAAGAAGGGCTGCTCAAAGAAGGGCTGCTCAAAGAAGGGCTGCTCAAAGAAGGGCTGCTCAAAGAAGGGCTGCTCAAAGAAGGGCTGCTCAAAGAAGGGCTGCTCAAAGAAGGGCTGCTCAAAGAAGGGCTACTCAAACAGCTGCTTGGCGGGGCCTGTGGGATTGAGGGGACCAAACAGGACATCGTCGTTGCAACGAGTGAGGCATTTTGGCAAGTTGGAACGCGATGGGAGTGGGCGGGCAATGAAGGATGGATGTGGAAGAGGAGAAGGGCGGTGGCGTACCGATGGGATCGGAGGAGTCGACAATGATGGCGTCGTACGTGCCTTCTGGCACCGCCTTGAGGAACGCCACTCCTGCATTGCATTGCACGAGCAGGGGGGAGAAAGGGGGGAAGGGAGAAAAGGAAGACATGCGAGGGATGGGGAAGGCATTGGAGCGGACATTGTGGATGCGGGCCATTGCAGGCAGGAGTGGTGGCCAAGGGGGGGGGGTGGGGGGGGGGGAGAGGAGGAGCACAACAGGGGTTGCGGATGAGAGGTGTGGCAGCCAGGCCGAGATGGGACTGGGCCGATGTGCGGGCGAGGAGATGGGAGGGGTGGAGGGACGAGATGAGATGAGATATGCACACACTGCTGCACGGATTGACCAGACGCAAAACGAGCTCTGATGCTCCACAAATAGGTAGTCGCAATCGCGCAGCGCTTCCGCATGCATGCATGCAGGCAGGCAGCACGGAGGGCCACTCACCGTCGCCCACAGTGATGTTGACACGCGGGTCCTTGGTAGCCTATGGCCACACTGAGCATAGCATGGCACCTTGATTCTTCACAACACGCACACACACACACACACACACACAGACGCACACACGCACACTGCTGCAGCATGCATGCACACAGCTGTCACCACCAGCACGCACCATCGCCCACAGTGACGTTGACGCGTGGGTCCTTGTAGCCAATGGCCACCGCAGGGAAGTGCTCCTTGGATACCTGGGGGACGCACAGGGGCGATTGTGGGAGACAATGGGCAGTGATGAGAACAACAGCGGCTCGAGTGGCAGGGCAGACGGGCAACGGGTGATGAGAGTGGAATCGGAGAGGCTGGGGATGAGATGGAGGTGAGTAGCGACGGCATGTGGCGTGGGGGCATGTGAGGTGCAGTACAAGTGGGATGATGGATCATGGCACGAGGCATTGACAATGGGGAACGGATCGTGGATTGCGGGTCTGATGGCACATGGCATGAGGCATCGAGCAGGGAGCATGGGCATCAGGTCGAGTGAGATCATCAGGTGGAATCAGGCGGTTGATCCTGCATGCATAGTTATTCGTAAGATCATCAGCTGCCCATGGAAAGAAAATAATCACAACAAACAACAAGATTACAAAGCAAAGAGGTTTAATGAGAAACGATGCAACACAGAGCATTGGCCACGGAGCACGTGCATGGAACATGGGGAAAGGGGCACAGAGCATGTAGGCATAGGGAATGTTTTCACAGGCATCAGAGAAGGTATTATCATCAGCTGGAATCAGGCGGTTGATCCTGCATGCATAGTTATTCTTAAGATCATCAGCTGCCCATGAGAAGAAAGTTGAAACCATTCCTTGGCTTGACAGAATCACACGGAAAAGAGGTGCAAACAACGGTGCAGAGGGAAGTGTGGATCGAGCAACGGGCATGGAGAACAGAAAAAATGCGCGGACAGGGAGTGGGGCATGGGCATCAGATCGGTTGGGTGTGATCATCAGCTGGAGTCAGGCGGTTGATCCTGCATGCATTGTTTTTATAATCAGCTGCCCATGTTTATAAATATATCCTCCGTTTTACCGGGACACAGTGAAGAGGTGTAAAGAACGGCGCAGAGGGTATTGTGGATGAGACAGGGCATGGGGCATTTAAAGCAGAGCATGTGGGCACAGGGAGTGGAGCATGGGCATCAGATCGGGTGTAATCATCAGCTGGAGTCAGGCGGTTGATCCTGCATGCATAGTTAATTCGTCAGATCATCAGCTGCCCATGTGAGAAACGCAGGAAAGTCCCTCCAGCTCTCAAGATTTGGCTCCGAGTCACAATCAAGACGTCCCAAAAGGCTCCCAAGATAAGGCTCCAGGTGATAGCGCAAGAGAAGGAGCATCAGGGGCATCAGGAGGTGAGGGCAGAAGAGTCAGTCAGTAGATCAACTCACGTCAGTCAGCGCCCATCTGCTGTGACTCACATCGATCACCAACAACTCACATCAATGACCATGCCGTCGATTTCAACGATGTCGATCTGCTCCACCCCCACGTGCCGCGACACCTCTCTCAACACTCCGCCGTCGCCGCCGCCCACCACCAGCACCTGGTTCATGCGCAAGAAATATGGATTGTCAAACTTCCATTAGTTTTTAAGCTTAAAATGACGCAGTAGTTGACACAAGCGGGACTGGAATTGCACAAGAAGCATCAATTGCACCGCAGGCAGTGCACGCACCACAAGCACGGCAGGCACGAGGAATGAACGAGGAAGGCACGAGGAGGGCACGAGGAGGGCACGAGGAGGGCATGAGGAGGGCACCTTCTTGGGGTTGGGGATGGAGCAGAGCGGCACGTGCGTGATCATCTCCTGATACGCGCACTCGTCGCGCTCCGTGAGCTGGATCACGCCGTCCAGCACCAACACCTTGCCGTACGTCTCCGACTGGGGGAGGCGCCATCCGGGGGAGGTGGGAGTTGAGGAGGGGAATAGGAGGACGTTATGAGGAAGTAAAACAGGCGGGTAGGAAGTTCCTAAATCTCGGTTTAACTATGTGTTGAGATTCTCGTGTAAAGTTCAGATGATATGGATGAATGTGGTTGCAATGTCCGGAAACCCCCTCTCCCCCCTCCTTGACGGTTTTTTTGCCTGCCCGAAAGATTTTATTAGCCTGCCCGGTCCAGCGTCTTTTGAGCGTCTAGTACAAGGCCGGGTGGGCGTCCTGCGTCCAGGACGCACGGCGCGTTTTTCTCATCACATGTAGGAACGCGGTCGGCGCATCCAGAGACTGTCAATTGTTACTTTTCCTCCTACAGCCAATACGGTATCACGCTGCGGTCCAATACTAAACTCAGGACAAAAGTAAAGCGACTCTTAAACGGCACCCCCGCAAATGGAATTTGAATGTCTCAACCAAAGCATCCTCGCTCTCGATGCCGCGCGCAATCACGAAAACCCCGCACGGGGATGCATTGGTTACATCGCAAGGGCCACATCAAAACCGTTACATTGAGACGATTACGTAGAAACGGCTACGGACAATGGAACGGGGTGACTATAGAGTCGACTCAAAATGGAACGGTGTCGGACCTGGAAAATGGCGACGTCTTGGAAGTCGGACTTGCCCTCGAAAATCACCTTCTCGATCTTGAGCGAATGCGCCTCTCCTGCTCGCACAACGAGACACACCAAGAGACACTTGATTCTGAGACACTCCGATACGCATTGAAACACACAGATACACTTTGAGACACACCAACACAGATCGGGACACACGGAGAGCGCGAAGAATAATTGGAGTCTATCTGCGAGATAGACGCAGGGAGCCGAAATTATGATCTCATTTCCAGAAACTAAAACCCTGGGATGATGATGCGACAGTGTGCCAACAATTGACGCGGAAAGAGCGCAGACGGACGTGTTCGTTCGACTCAACGCATTGAAAGATATCCTCGGCGGCGCGTCGTTCGACTCAACGCGTTTCCGGGTTGGCGGCACCGCATCGCCCACATCGGTGCGCGAGCCGTAGTAAATGACGTCATCATTGCGATGGACTGACGTCAGCGGCGCGCACCTGGCCACATGGGGCTGACTTCCGAGAACCATCCCTTCATGACCGTGTCCATGTTGGCGCGCGCCGTGCCCTGCGTTTCCCCCACGTACTTGCCGCCCTGCCACGCCAGTGCACGGAAAAGAAAGAAGTTAAGAACGTGCGGTACGTGTTCGACCCGGTGAACATAGTTATGACGAAACTGGCTATCGGAGAAGACAGGATATCGAGGTTCCGCAATTACAGAAAGCAATGCAGCCATTTTCTACTCTTCGTTCAACAGACGTCGGATCTCCACTCACCGCGGCTTCCGCCATGGCGACTCTCCTTCGCGGACGGTGGCTGGAACAGGAAGGGAGGCGAGGAGAGCCTCTTGAGAGAACACGAGCGAGGCTGATGCTGAGTCTGCACGCGAACATGAGAGGGTTCTGAGCTTAGTCCAGATTTATGGCTGGTTTTGGAAGGGCTCACTCACAGCCTCACTCACACCATTCCGTTCAGACACGAGGCTTCAGCCCAGGCTCGTACCCGATAGCAGAACTCTTTATTGCTCTAGAATATGAGTCGTACACCTGGAACACACTGAGGTCCTGAATTTGAATGTTCCAACTACCTATTTTGTGGTTGATGTGATTTCACCGTAAGTGATTCAGGGGTTGGGTTGGTGTTCTTGATGTGAAACTTGCAGAACTCCACTTGGTAGTTTCACTTCCTGGTTTCGTGTCCCTTGCCGTAAGGATTAATAATTGGATAGAAGCATGCTTTCAAATTAATGGGGCACCATGGCCAGCACATGCTTACATTTGGCAATACACCATCAAAAAGCAGGGCAAGGCATCACAACCAACTTTTGCATTGTGTCGGATGTGACCTCACAATTCCAAAATATGCCTGTGGTCCAGCCATTTTGACCCCTTTCCTTCTCTACCCACCCCCTACCACTACCCTACTCAACTCACCATCCAACCTCATCCCCCCTTCCCTTCTCGGAATCACCGCAATGCAGTGTGCCGGACCAAACCAATCTTGCAGTGTCCACAATCCAGCATCCGCATACGGTAGTGTGGACCACACCACTGTGCGCCGCATGCAACAAGGAAGCATGCATTTGTGCAGCATGCAATGCTCACCATGCAGTGTGCAGTGCTTCGAACTATGTACAGCCACCCACTACTTGCGAAAACCAAAGAGCGAGGCAAGCCAGGAGAAGAAACGTGAGAGAAAAGACCCTGCAGAACCAGAGCCACCGCCACCGCCGCCACGCCCCACATTACCACCATCGTCACCACCTTCCCCCCCACTGCCAGCAGATGGGACGGTGGCACATGAGAAGTCCACTGACATACTTCCTCTGTGATGGAAACGGGTAGACGAGAACGCACGAGAGAGACCGAGAGAGGGTGGTGGATGAAGGGGAGGACGTTGAAACAAGAATGGAAGGGGGCTTGTCTCCCCGTAGCAGCTATGTGCAGATTGGGAAGCAGTGGCTCAGTTGCAAGTCCACAAGAAGAGAGGCCAACAGAGGAGACAACAGGGATGTGAACATCGGATTGGAAACATGGAGGTAGAGGTTGAGATGGGGGCACTCACTTGGCGTCGCCGTGGAAGGCAAGGGTCTGGGAGCCGGAGTCGGAGTGAGCCCATATGAGGCGGCTGACTTCACTCATCTTCACGGGAATAGACCCCGTGCCGGCCGTGCGGGAGAACCTGATGGGTGCATGGCCAAGGATGAGATGCACAGTCGGTTGCTTAAGTTTAAAGAATGTGAACCATTAGGGAAACAAAGAGCAGGTGAGAGGGCTGGAGAGAGAGGGTGAGAGGAGCGGCAGAATAGAAAGGCACAAGTGCACACCACACAAGCTTGTAACTCACTGGATCACTGTGGAAAGGGATGGTAGCTGATGACACGACCACAAACCAATCGCCCCCCGCCCCACTCACTGAATCACTGTGGACCCTGAAGCCGATGTCACGGTCCCAGCACTGCCGCCAATGCTAAACGAGGCGCCTTGTAACGAGGACATGGCATGGCCAGTGATGTGGTAAGGGCTGACGACCCGGCCGTCCATGTTGCCAATGACTGCATCGGAGGGAGCCATGTGTCCACTGTTGGCCCAGCCGAGGGCGAACCAGCCATTGCTGGCGCCGCTGCTGCTCTTGAGCTCCACGGCCATGTCCAGCTGCGTGGTGGAGGCGGGCTTCCAATGCAGCAGCACGCTGGGGACGGGGAGAGAAGAAGGAATTGGGAGGAGAACAAGGAATGAATCGTTTGTCTTGAGCTCCACTGCCATGTCCAGCTCCGTGGCGCAGGCCCGCTTTCAGTGCAGCACCACGCTGGGAAGAGGGGCGGACGCGGCAGCAGTACGCGGTTCGGGTGGCAATGGTAGGGGGGAAATGGGGAACGAGAGATGTGGCTTGCGCTGCACGGCCAGGTCCAGCTGCAAGGCGGCGGCACGCTTCCAATGCAGACGAAGAAAAGCTTAGCGGAACAGAGGAACCCCGTCCTGGAAGCGTACGCGCGCTTCCAGTGCACGCTGGGATGGAACAGAGGAGAGGGAGGGAGGAACGGGAAGGGGATGAAAACAAGCTGCGGAAGAAGTAATGCATGCAGCAGCAGCAACAGCAGCAGCAGCAGCAGCTGTTGTGGCAACAAATGGTTAACAGTCGGATTTGATCGCCTCCGAATGCGCGCATACCCCAATTTAATCTGCGCCTGGTAGGAGTAGCCGCAGAGGGTGGACGCAGGGCATACCGTGCCGCTCACGCCTGTGTTGTCCGTGCACGTGCCTGCTCCACTGCCCGAGCCTGATCCTGAGCCTGATCCCGAGCTTGATCCCGAGCCTGATCCGGAGCCAGCTGTGCCGTCGCAAGAGAAATCAACGGTAGTGGTTCCTCTGGTGGTGAGGAAACAGGCAGGGAGAAGGGGAAGGAAAAGAAGTCCTTTACCACATGAGGAGAAGGAGAGAAAGGGGAGAGATTGGGTGGGCCAGGGGTGTGACTGGTTCAGAATGAGCATCAATCAGAAGTTATAACAGTTGGCAGCAGGAAGAAGAGCTGACCACGCAAGCAAACCACTCTCAGGTGGAATTTAACGAGCTGGAAGGGGGAGGGGAGGAGAAGGGGAGGGAGGGGTACCCCTGAGAAAGCATGCGGCGGCACCTGTTCGAGCCGCCATGGTTGGCAACTGTCTGCGAGCCGCTGGACGAGTGAGCCCACGCGAGCTTGTTGCTCCCCGCCACGTTCACTGCCACAAACCCGTCTCCCGTCTCCCGCGTGAAACTCACGATCGTGCTTCCGCCTTCCGAAGCCACGCTCGCGCCGCTGATGGCAAAGCGCGTGGTGGTAACCGGGCCCGAGTAGCTCGAGATCGCGTACGTGTCCACGCCGCTGGCGGGCGTCACGAGGTTCCCAATGACGGCGTCGGAGTTGAACATGCCGCCGGTGGTCCACGCCACTGCAAACCAGCCGCTCGCCGCGCCGCTGGTTGACTTGGCCTCGAGCGCCAGGTCGATGGTGGACCCCGTTGTCGTTTTCCAGTGAAGGATGAGCCTGGGGAGGAAGAACGCGCCCTGAATATGGGGCTAGATAGGGTCACCTGACGTGAAAATGCCGGATGCGGAGATAAGATAAGAGCATGACAAAACTCTCACACGCACTCAGTTATGACGAAGCTATTTGGGATCCTTTGCGCTGTTATCGGAGATAATGTTTGAGAGAGTCTCCCAACCCCTGGGATTACTTACCCGCTGCCTGACAGGTCCACTGAGCTCGTGAACCCCGTGAGAGTCGATGCCTCACACGTGCCCGCCGTCGCGCCGGGCGTCGCCAGTGGTTTCGCCGCTACGCCAGCTTTTCCGCTGGCTGTAACCGTGGCGGCCCCGCTTGTAGCCGCAGCAGCGCCAGCGGGGAAAAACTTGCGCAAGGCTGTCACGCGCTGCGAGTGGAATCTGTTGAGGAGGCCTTGGGATGATATACGCGCCGCGGACGGCATTGACTGAACGCCGGCGGCGCAGTCAGCGAGTATCGCGGCGACGAGGAGGATCGAAATGTAGAGGCGGTGCATGATGATGAGCGTGACGCGCCGCGCCGCTTCGTGCGATCTGAGACAGAGCTCGGTTGGCTGTACGGAAAGGGAGGAGGGTTGGCGTGTGTGCGAGTAGGTGGAGTGTGGTTGGGTGGGGTGGGTTGGGCTGAATAGGTGAGTAGGCGGACGCGCGACATGGATGCGTACAGCAGGACTCCTTCCGACAATCTTGTAAGCGGTTTTTTATTCACTACACCACTCGACTCCCTCATTCTGCGAAATCGATAGGGCAGTCAGTTGAGTTGCTGGTCTTGGATGGGATGGGAGGGAGGGGTGAGAGAGGGGGTGGAGTGGGAGAGAGGAGGGGAAAGGGGAAAGGGGGGGGAGGAACGCCCTATCAGAAACACGAGAGTCTACATATGCAGGCGGACGGTCGGCAGCAGAATGCTTGGGTGGACATGTGCTGATTGGGTGGAAGAAAAGCATGCCTGCTTGGAGGCAGGGCTTGGTTCAGGGATCTAACGTCAGGAGGGACTCGGGGAGCTCTGTGCGAAATGTTGGCGTTGTTCTGCAGGCGTTTAGGGTTCCGCACCAATTTGACCGCGGTAGCCTTCCGTGCATTTTCTAGGCGCATTCATGCTGGTTGGGTTGCGCGGATGTTTGGCGCAAACAGGTTCGGCTGGACCTTTCTTATCACCAAACCTTGATAGGCAGAAGACCACTTATCAACGAAGATTCTGCGGACCCAGTTTTTGGAATTTTAACGCCTACAGAACAGCGCCGTTGCCGTTTTCCTGAACGTGCCAAATTCCAGAACTTTAAATCAGTCCTCTGTATAGGGTTGTCCTATTTACGTTCTAGGCATTGCTAGTGCTTTGCAATTCACACCAACTACAATTGCATACAGGTGTGCCTCCTTTATTACACAGATGTGACATGATGAAGTACTACTTGTGTTGCAGAGCATACCACGTAAGGTGTTTTTTTATATATATCGATCAATAAGCACGCTCACAGGAGACGTACAAGGAGCAGAATAGGCCAAAATAAAAGCTCAAAAAGTTGCAGCTTACGAGCCTTTTGACCTTCAGATATTACACCCCACCTGAGTCGACAGTGTAGTCCAACATGTCGGATTATCAACATATGTGCATGTTAGATCTTAGGCTACAATGAGGTGCTTCTTAGAGGGTACAACCCCTTTTAGGGTTCCTTATTTGTATCCTCATCCTTTCTTGTTCATTCATTCTGCTTCCGAACTCTGACATGGTACCGTGATCTCCCGGTTACAAGACCCCCCTGCATAAAAGCCCCGTGGGTCTTCTATCCGGCCCAGGGGTCTTTTATTAGGTCAATCCTGGAGAGGACCCGCCTTTTGACCCAAATCATTATAAGACCCCCCCTCAGGCTATAATGAGTGGTGTTAGTTCATGAGCTGGTTAGAGAGTCACACAAAAAAACCACCAAATTTACTTAGTCAGGCGAATTTGTGGTCAAGGGAGTCAAGATGCCACATCAATCACGCGTTTTTGCCGCCCTTCAGGCAACAAATGCTGACGTGCCTGTCATTATTAGGCATTTCTGAACGTGCGGAAAGGAATCAGGGAGACTCGAGTGCGAGAATCTGAGAATGAATTTCTGCGCTGTGAAGGAATCCAAAATTCAGTACAGAAATTTTTGAATTTCTTCAACATTGCACTACACAATCCATTTTCCATTAATTAATAGATGTCCAGGGGTCTTATGCACTTCATGTTATTACATAAGACCCCACAACCCAGTTCGAGCACATTTAGGATAAGACCCCCGGGTCTTCTAGGCGGGAGATCACGGTATCATCGTGAGGTACTTCCTAGGAACCTAGCCCGCCGCCATCCCTAGCTCTGTCCGTCCCGCCGGCCGTCCCTAGTCTGTTAGAATCTAGCAGCAGGAATGAATGACTATGGAAGGGTAGGTACAAGTATGAAACCCTAAACGGGGCTGTACCCCATATTGGCTACCCCACTACAGCCTACACATATATAGCATGCATATACTTTGACATAGTCTTCCGATCGGTGTAAATCACCCTGATACACTGATAATCAGGGTGGTTTTTGGTAGTCACACTGATGCCTTAGGGTAATTTTTTCTGGAGCTTATATTTTCCTGATATGTCAGGGTTTATGGTTAAGGCACACTGTCGCCCCAGTGTTACTGTTCTTCTTAGCGAGTTTTATCCTGAAGCGAATACGCCCCCCTCCCCCCAAACCCCCCCCCAACCTGGCCCCGCACTTCTGTCCCGCTAATTAGAACTATGACTTAGAATATTATGTGATGCCAATACTCCTGGAAGTGGCCCGGTCAGTAGATTGGTCTTCGGAAGGATGAAGACCGGGGTTCAAATACTGGAGCCTCTTTTTTGTTCAGAACTTCAGTAGAAACACTTCCATCAGGGTTCTGAAAATTGTTACACTGTGGCCTTAGGGCGAAAATTTTGAAACTATGGAAAACCTTGATGGAAAAGAATTTTCCCAAGGGGTCACACTGATAATCAGGGTTTTGAAAAGGTGCAGGACTGATAATAAGGGTTGCTTAAAACAAAAAATTAGCCCTGACGTTGACACGGCCCTAGGGCGATATATCCGGGTGATTGGGGTACGATCATCACAAAATTATGAATGCCCAAAATTGTCTGACAATCGTTGCGTTCGCAGTACACCACACTGGAAGTGCATTACAGTAATGAGTGTCAAATTACATTTGTATGCTTCTAGGCTGTAGTGGGGCATACTGTAGTGAGTACAACCCTTTAGGGTTTCATACTTGTACTCATCCTGCTGCTCAATGCAATCATTCCTGCCTGCTTATTCTAACATGGTATTAGAGCAGAATCGTTCCTAGGGCCCACCGAACGTTCCGCCCTGCCCTAGCCGTAATTGTTTTCTTCCTACGCTGCCCCTGCAGCCGCGCTGCCCTTGCAGCCCGCGCGCTGCCCCTGCGACCGCGCTGCCCCTGCAGCCGTGCTCGCCCCTGCGACCGCGCTGCCCTTGCAGCCGTGCTCGCCCTGCGACCGCGCTGCCCCTGCAGCCGTACTCGCCCCTGCGACCGTGCTGCCCCTGCAGCCGTGCCTGCCCCTGTGGCCCGCGCGCTGCCCCTGCAGCCCGCGCGTCGCCACTGCAGCACGTGGGCGCTGCCCCAGCAGCACGTGCGCCGCCCTGCCGAGCCGCGCGTCGACTCTGCGACACACGCGCCGCCCTGCCGAGCCGCACGTCGCCCCTGCAGCCCGTAGGCGCTGCCCCTGCAGCCCGCGAGCCGCCCTGCCGAGCCGCGCGTCGCCCCTGCAGCCCGTGGACGCTGCCCCTGCAGCACGCGCGCCGCCCTGCCGAGCCGCGCCGCCCAGGCCGAGCCGCGCCGCCAAAACCCGAGCCGCCCTACCCAACCCGAGCCGCCCTGCTCCTACTACTGCTACAGCTGCTGCTACTACTGCTGTTGCTACTACTCGTGCTACTGCTGCTGCTGGTGGAGGTGCTGCTGGGAATGTTGGAGGTGCTGCTGGTGCTGGAGGAGCTGGAGGTGCTGGACCTACTCCTGACCGTCACTGTCTGTCATGGCCACTATCTGTCAAAGTATATGCATGTTATATGTGTGTAGGCTATAGTGGGGTAGCCAATATGGGGTACAGCCCCGTTTAGGGTTTCATACTTGTACCCAGCTCTTCCATAGTGCATTCATTCATGCTGCTAGATTCTAACATGGTTTCAGAGCACTAGGTCCGTAGGACCGTCTTTTTTTTTTTCGGGCCCACCTACCGTTGCGGTTACCGCGCTACCCCACGTGTTGTCCTGCGCCTGCCTGCCTTGCCTTGTGACGTGCTGCGCTGCGCGCGCCGTCCTGCAGCCCTCGCGCTGCCTCCTGCTGCCCTAGGCCAGCACGCTGCCCGTGCAGGCCCGTAAGGCCCGCGCGCCGCCCCTGCAGGCTCGTAAGGCCCACTAGCCGCCCCTGCAGGCCTGTCAGGCCCACGAGCCGCCCCTACAGGCCCTTCAGGCCCACGAGCCGCCCCTGTAGGCCTGTCAGGCCAGAACGCGGCCCCGCCCTACCTCTGACGCGGCCGCGCCCTGCTACCGACGCGGCCCCGCCCTGCCTCTGACACGGCCACGCCCTGCCGTCGACGCGGCCCCGCCCTTCCTCTGACGCGGCCGCACCCTGCTGCCGACGCGGCCCCGCCCCGCCTCTGACGCGGCCGCGCCCTGCCGTCGACGCGGCCCCGCCCTGCCTCTGACGCGACCGCACCCTGCTGCCGACGCGGCCTCGCCCTGCCTCTGACGCGGACGCGCCCTGCCGCCGACGCGGCCCGCCCTGCCTCTGACGCGGCCGCGCCCTGCCACCGACGCGGCCCCGCCCTGCCTCTGACGCGGCCGCGCCCTGCGGCCGACGCGGCCGCGCCCTGCCGCCGACGCGGCCCGCCCTGCCTCTGACGCGGCCGCGCCCTACCGTCGACGCGGCCGCGCCCTGCCTCTGACGCGGCCGCGCCCTGCCTCTGACGCGGCCGCGCCCTGCTGCCGACGCGGCCCGCCCTGCCTCTGACGCGGCCGCGCCGCCGCCGACGCGGCCCCGCCCTTCCTCTGACGCGGCCGCGCCCTGGACGCTGACGCGGCCCCGCCCTTCCTCTGACGCGGCCGCGCCCTGGACGCTGACGCGGCCCCGCCAGCCCTGAAGCTGACGCGGCCCCGAAATGCCGCTGACGCGGCCCCGCCCTGCAGCTGCCGCGGCCCTACTCTGCAGCCGCTGTTGCGGCCCCGTCGAGCGCCGGCCCTGCCCGCCACTGGTGAGCACCTGCCTTGTTCGCGCGCTGCCGCGCCCTCTGCCTGTCTGCCTGCCTGCCTGCCTGCCTGCCGCGCCTGCCCTACCCGCGCTGCTACTGCTACTACTGCCACTACTACTGCTACTGCTGCTACTGGCGGTGGCCAAATGCAGCTCCAGCGACG